CTGGCACAGACAGTTCAGAAAAATAAATATTTAATCTTTTAGATTTATTTAGATATCATCTAGTAAAACTATTTAATAACAGTTTGCCTCCGCCCAAGCAGATTCGAAATATCGTCCTGACGTCCTTATATATTATTTATATATATATATATATATATATATATATATATATATATATATATATATATATATATATATATATATATATATATATATATCCTTGGATGTACAGCTATGATTCCATGTAAAATATTTTATTTTTCATTAGATACAAACCAGTTGGTGGCAGCCATGGAGTGTTGACTGACAAAATGCAACTTTGGGATGATCAAGCTTCATTTGAAAATGGTACTCTACCAGTATTTGACTTTCATGAGCTGCTGCAAGATGATAAAGTACTCTATAAGTGGCTTGTAACACTTGCCTGTGAGACTGGAATTGCCAAGTTAGAAAATATACCCATGGAAAGGCAACAGTTGAGCCGCTTAGGAGACAGAGCAGGATATCTCTTGTCAACAAATTACGGGTAAATAGAATTATTTGTTCTTTTGACGCTGCAAAACCATTTTCCAAGTCCACTATACGTTACATTAGAAAGGGTAAGAGTCATATTTTGAAGTTAATTGTTAGCTTTTCAAAGTTATTATAATTTTATTATTGCAAAGTTTTTATGCACTAAAACTGAAGCATAGAATAAGCTAGTAAAAATCATCGAAAACTTTCAAATGCGATTTGAAATTTGCGGTTAGCAGTCTTTCGTACAAACATCGATCTTACCCTCCCTAATATTAAACTTTATAGTAACCTCTAGTATTTATTTTTTAGGATTTGTTATGACATTAAAGCATACAGTCAAGACGTTGCTCGGGATATTGGTTACACCACTACATCACTGCCATTACATTCAGACTATGTCTTTATCACCTCACCACCAGCGGTAAGTAATAATGTACGAATAATGTCCCGGGCCCACTTCAAAGAACTATAGAATCAAATCTTCAACTCTGTTACGCTACATATGATGATTCAAAAAGTTAAATAAAATTTAGTGTTATTCTAGACAAATTCTAGACATAATTTCGGTCTTGAAAATAGACCTTATTCACCAACATGGCTGCCGAATAACTGATATTCTTTTATACTATAATAAAATTAGCTCTTATGTATTTTTGTCAATATGATCTATGTAAAATATGATTGTCACTAAAATGAGTAAAACACACTTTCTTTCCTTAAGACGTAGCCTATTTTCCATATTTTTTCTGCCTACCTCAAATATTTTCTCGGACGAATGGTTCCGTGTGGTCTGCCATATTTTTGCAGCACTGGTTTAACTATTTTAAACTTGTAAAAGGTTTATTGAATGGCATTCATTTGTGTTTCATTTCTCCAGATCGCCATGTTCCACTGTCTGTTTCAAACTAAATCTAAGGGTGGTGTGAATCAATGGATCGATGGTTTCCATGCTGCACACAGGCTTTGGGAGGAAGATCCAGAATCATTTGACATTCTAACTAAAACACCAATTGCTTATCGAAACATTACCAGAACTGAAGTTGGCGAGTTTCATAATACATCAAATCACCGTCTTATCAGGTTTGAATAAATTTTATTCTGAAACGCACGCAGAGTCACCAATATAGGATTCCGATTTGCGGAACGCGCGATGTTTATTTGGTAACGGATAACGGAATAAATTATCAATAATTGTGGGACCAGGAGTTGTATTGAAAACAACTGTTATATTGTGGACACCCTGAAAGTATTATTGTATATAATGATAGCCAAACCAGTTGTGGGTCATAAAAACTGAGAACCCCGCGCTTATTCGTCTTATGTACGAATGTAGAAGTATTGCTAGAAAATAAATGAGATTTAAATTTTCTTGCTCCTCTATATGCGTCATCATTTTGGAACCACCGTTTGCTGCTAGTATCGGTTAATATTGTAACCCAGCAATACATGTTTAATTGAACTATATATTAACATAATTTCTTTGTCTGTTACTAGCCTGCTACGGTGAAGCCCTTTCAGTCCTAGCTTTCTTTCTCGCTCTCCCTCGGCAACACATTACTGAACATATTAAGTAAACATAATTTCTTTGTTTAGTCTGGACGCTGCTGGCAAACTGTCCCAAGTGGGTTACAGTGATGAATTCCGTGATCGACACATGCCGCTAGAACCAAAAAACATGAAGGCATTTTATAAAGCTTACATTCGTTTTACACAACTACTGCTTGATAATAAATCATCATTCTGGTATAAGATGAAAAATGGCGACGGCATCTGTGTAAACAACCATCGTGTTCTTCACGCTCGCAACGGATATGAAGATAGCACAGACAACAACAGAGTATTTCAACTGGCTTACATGGACTGGGATTGTGTTCACTCGAAGATAAGAATTTTGTCTGAACAACAAGGAATACCATCTCCTGTTTAATGAACTGAAATGAAATCTTTGCTACCTAGAACTTTGGAAGCTTATACAGACTGTCCTATTCGTCATCGCAGGCATTAAATCAATAATAATATATAAATCATTTTGGTTGGACCAAAATACATTGACTGATACAATCTTGGACACAATGGTTGAGATTATTCTTCAAATGTGGCAAAACGTTGATGTACATTGACAAAACTGAGTTAAACGTCCTGGTCCCACGTTCAATGTTGCAGACAGCCATCAAACGAGTGAAGACATTGAAATGGGAAAGCGAGGTTTTGAACACTGGAACATGTTGTAATTGAGGGGAAGTTACCAAGAGGTTACGGTTACCACTGAGTAATTTTAAAAAATACAAAACAATGGACACTCCGAAAACGGTTAACATTTTGATTCGACGTTTCGACTAGCTTGCAGTCATCATCAGGAATGACGCTACTAAGAAATACAAAACTATATATACAAGATCAAATTAATGAAATATGATATCTGTTAGTTAAAAATTATGAGTTCCTTAGAGGCTTTACATCCGTGGTTAAGTTCCGGTCTCTGGCGATGAATATATAGTGATTCTTTGAAAATAAAAAGTGATTCTTTGGTCTTTATTACTTTTCAAAGAATCACTATATATTCATCGCCAGAGACCTGAACTTAACCACGGATGTAAAGCCTCTAAAGAACTCATAATTTTTAACTAACAGATATCATATTTCATTAATTTGATCTTGTATATATAGTTTTGTATTTCTTAGTAGCGTCATTCCTGATGATGACTGCAAGCTAGTCGAAACGTCGAATCAAAATGTTAACCGTTTTCGGAGTGTCCATTGTTTTGTATTTTTTA